AGAGAGAGGCAAAGGCAGAGGGAGAAGCAGACTCCCCACCTAGCAGGGAGCCCGATGAGGGACTCGATCCCAGGACCCTGGGATCGTGACCTGAGCCGAAGGCAGACGCTTAACCATCTGAGCCACTCAGGCGCCCTAGTTAAGAGTCTCTTATGCTTTGTCTCTCAAGACCTACCTTCTTTGAAGGCTCTTGTGTAATCTTCATACCGTGGTCAGAAGCTGAAAAAGAGAGATAGAGTAAATGCAAAGTTACATACATACTTCATCCTTTCCTTTAACTTATATATTTCTCTAAACTAGGGAAGATTGTGCAGCACCTAATTATTTCTATAAACATTAGTTATTTTGCATTTGTTATTTTACTGCCTACTAGTTATTCCTAAGAGCATTCTTCTCTCAGTTTTTGGAATAATATTCCTGAATTAAAAAGGTTTTAGAATTTAATATTTCCTACCTTAGTCAGTTGGGGGTGCTATAACACATACCATAGGCTGGGGGGCTTACAAACAGCATACTGATTTTTGATGGTTCTGTAGGCCGGGAAGTCCAAGATCTGGGTTCCAGCACCTTTGGGTTCTAGTGAATTACCTCTTTGGGGTTACAGAGTGCAGACTTCTTGTATTCCCATATGGTAAGAAGCAGGGAGAGGAAGCCAGCTTTCTTGTGATTCTTTCAAAGGTATTAATCCCATTAATCAAAGCTCCACCCTCAGGACTTCATCTAATCCTAATTACCTCCCAAAGCCCCCACCTCCTAATACCATCACACCTGGAGGGTAGGGTTTCAACATATGGATTTATGGGAGACCACAAGCATTCAGTTCATTTATTACACTCCCATTATCAAACAGAATTAATTTTTTAAAAACAGAATAAATAAAACATAGTATTTCTTAAAGAACTCTGCATATGTAGCTTTCCAAGAATGGAACATAGATGATTACAATTTTATACTCAAGACATGGACACACACTATATAGGTTATTTTAGAAATAAGGGAATGTCTATATCATAGCTTTGTTTCTTATGAATGCTTTTGGCCTATCACACATGTTCTCTATTGTTGAAAAATATAGTTACTATCAATCTCATTACAAATTATATTCTTCTAATGCATTTTTCTGACTACTTTTAGATCTTTACAGGGATCTTGACAGATGCTCTAACCAGGGCATTGAGAATTATGGTGTTTCCATGACAACTTTGAATGAAGTGTTCTTGAAATTAGAAGGAAAATCAGCTATTGATGAATCAGGTAAAAACAAAAGAAACTTCAATTTTATCTTTCTGTAGAATATTCTATTTTGAAAATATACTTTGAATGATGAGGTTGTATGCTTTTGGAGGTGCTCTGATTCAGTCTGGTCTTGGGAAAACTTAGAGCAGAGAAGAGATATATTTCTATCTCCTTCTTCCCTTTTCTCCCAATACTGGTCCCCCCTCTTAAATTCCTTATTTTGTACTATGCATTTTACTAAGGGTGTGGGATATAGCAGTGTACAAGACTAGGTCCTCATGGAGTAGACAATAAATATATAATGTAAGTGCTGTAGAGAGAAAGAAATTAAAATTGTATCTTGACAGTTAACTTTTCTTGTAACATTTTGAGGCTACTGTTCCAATATCTTCAGGGTTACATTTTTGTTATTGGAAAGATTTGCTGTTGGTATAATTGCCATTCCTTGGAAAGTCCTCTCTACTTGATCTAAGATAATTCCTTGTTTCCGGTTTACTCTTTTCTATGTTCTTTTTTTTTTTTTCCATTTTCTATTTTTTATTGATTGAGTGGGTTTTTAAAAATACCTCTTTCCCTCTTTTATCCACTTTTGAAGTTATATACTTGTGGTTATGCTTAACTTTTAATATACTATAGCTTTCTCAAAGTCTAGAGCTGATCAGTTTCTCTAGGCTTGTCTTCCAAAACAGGTAACTTTTTTCTTGTTTTCAACCATGGCTACATGAAAAAATATTGTCTCTACCAATTTTATACCCTTGGAAGGGGATGGGGAGGGTTCTATATATATACCAACTCTTCCACCTTAGTCAGAAATACTGATAGTTTATTTTTTGCAATGAGTAGATTTTTCTAGGCTAAAAATGGGTTTCTTTTCATTGATTTCCCTAGAATAAATTAAGTCCTTAAAGCTATAGACATAAACCTTTTTAAAAAGAAAATACAAGATTTCTTTCATTATGTCATTAGTTTTTCTTCTTGTATTATGCCTTTTTTTTTTTTTTTGCTCTGTTTCCTTTTCTTTGGTAGTTACTCTCATAATGCCATGAATTCATTTATTAGCATCTTTGCCCAAGATTCTCTACTCCAACACCATTTGGTGAAAAGATGGTCATAGAAAAATCTAAGTAATGCACATCTAAAATGACACATTATAAATTATTGATTTTATGTTTTATAGATGTTGAAATTTGGGGAGAGTTACAAAGTAATAGGACAAAAGACACAGGAAGCCTTGTTGAGCTGGAACAAATTTTGTCTTCCCTTAAGGAAACAAAGAAATCAATCAGCGGCATGGCTCTCTGGAGACAGCAGCTCTGTGCAATAGCAAAAGTTCGCTTCCTCAAGTTAAAGAATGAAAAAAAAACTCTGTTGACCATGTGAGTACCCAAGTGTTTCAGATATGTTGGGTTAGTGCTCTCAAAATAAATTCAAGGGGAAAAAAACAAAAACAAATAAACAAACAAACAAAACACACAAAAAAACCCTCTGAGATAAATTCCAGCAATTGCATGTGGTCTTTTTTTAACACAGAAAACAATTTCCAATTGCTTTGGTGGGTATGTAATTAAACCCGGTAAAGTTTGGGCTTTTTCTCTTAATTTCACACAGAATCTGCTCTTATCCAAGGGTTGAAATCGTTTTTCTGAAGCATGGAAGTTAGCACTTGGGTCCCATCCCCAGAACTTCCTCTTTGCCCAAATAGCCCTGTGCCAGGCTGGATCTGAGCCATCCACTCTCTGGAACCTGCTTCATGGTTCACACATTTCCCTATAGCTTCGGGCTGTTCATTGAGTAATACCTCCTTGCAAAAATCCTGCTCTCCAGCCAGGAATCATTCATTAAAAAATATTTGTTAGCACTTCTGCATAACACTCTATGGTAAATATCTGTAACACTTATCAAAATAAATCAGACATGAGATTTGGCTCTTGAAGGTAATTAGAAGTACACTCAAAACCATAGCATAAGATTAGACAATATTGTCAACCAGAACATTCAGTATGTGAAAGATTATGTTCCAATATGGGCATCAGAAAAATCGTTTTATATGAGGGAGAAATGGAGTCTGGTGTAGGAAAATGTAACAGCCAAGGAAAGAAAGGAGGATGGAAATTCAGGCAGAGGGGGCAATACTGAGTATGGAGATACATGAAAACTCAGAAGAGCTATTATCAATTTGAGTTGATTACAACATAAAGGATCCAGAAAAGTAAAAAATAATTTTGATAACGTATTACACACAGCTGAAGAGTTTGGGCTTTATGACTAGTAAGGAAGTATTGAAGTTTTCTTTTTTGTTTGAAAAGATGATTGACATAATTAGAACAGATTGCCAGGGAGGGGCACTGGGTGGCTTGTCTGTTGGGCATCCGACTCTAGATTTCAGCTCATGTCATGATCCCAGGGTCGTGAGATCCAGCCCTGTGTCAGATTCTGCACTCAGCAGGGAGTCTGCTTGGGGATTTCTCTTTCTCTCGCCCTCTGCCCCTCCCCCCACTTGCGCTCACTCTTACTCTCTCTGTAAAATATAAAATAAAATGAACAGATTGCCAAATTGCACTTAATTGGGCAACAGTGCAAAAATGGCTCAGAAATAGTAGACTCTGGAGACAAGGAAAACAGTCATTGAGGACAATACTGAAAGAGGTCAGGAGAGAGACAATTAAGGTCCAAACTTGAAAAGTGGAAGAGAAAAGTTTTTAGGCACCTAATAATGATGATATGATAGAAATTTTCAGCTATTCAGAAAAGAGACTTAAAGGAGACAGATTAGTGGAAAATGATCCTTGGGAACTTGAGTGAATGAGAAAACGTTGTAATTTATACAAATTGGGAACAGGAAGGGAAAAAGTGTCAGAGTGTAGTACGTTTGAGTGTTGGTGGTATGCCTGTGTTCAGTGGTCTAGAAAAAGGAAGAAATGCAAGATGGAAACAGAGGAAAGAAGTAGGAATTGGAGAGATACCTAGCCAACATCATGAGCTTGAGTGACATGTCCAAAATGGGGGGGGTGGGCGGAGGAGAGGCATTTAGAGAGATAGAAAGACCAAGCATAGATACGTAGGAACCATTTCATTTTAGAAAAAAGAAATAAGGGGTGGGGGTGGGGGGGAAGCATGATTCCTATATTTGATTAGTGCTTAGAATTTATTTCTATTTTAATATCCAGTATCTACTCAAACTTAAAAATCTACAAAAGTTGTTATAGATTTTTTTTTTCTTTTACATTTTCCTCCATGTAGATTATTGCTTTTTGGCATCAGCTTTTGCCCTCAGCTTTTGGAACATCTATTCTATGAGTTATATCAAAAAAGTTATTCTTGGGGACTGACTCCTAATATGTACTTCCTCTCTCCGGGACAACCACCTCAAGCTCCTCTGACCCACTTACTGGTAATCAATAAAACAGGTAAACATAGAGCTAAAATGTAACTTTTCAGTGTTGTTCTTCTTGAGAGATTCCCCAGACAACATAAACCATGAGGGGAAAAATAAATTCTGTATGTTTTAGAAAACACATATGAGGCCAAATAGGAAATTAATTTTAAAAAATGAAAAATTCAAGGTTGGGAAGTTTATTTTAGAAACACATCTTGCAAGGTTACTTAAATCCTAAAGTTGATTGCACCGAGCAACCAAAGGGGATTTAGTAAGATAAATCATTGACTGATCTTTGAGGCCTTTCCACAACATTTTTGAAGTACTGTGCATTCTTGGGCGCTGGAAAAAAATCTGTTCCAAATTTCTAAGAAAATAGAAGATTAATATCTTTAAGGATTATGATGTTAACTTTAAATAGTATTTTTACACTAACAGAAATTATATGTAAATGGCTAGGCTCTAGGGAAAGTAATCTTGTCCCATCTTTGATATCAGAATGGATTTTGGTATCATAGCATCATTTCTGCCTTTCTAAGGAAATCCTTAGACAGTCTTTTATTATGGTATGCTTTGGGTGACATCATTTAGTTTACTTTAGGGGTTTTTTTGTTTTATTTTGTTTTTTATTATTACTTGCCTGTTGTTTTACTTCCCTCTTGCTTCTTTTGATTTTTACCTTCATGATAGGGTCAAGTATTGATAACTTTATACATTCACTGAGGCAACAGAACATAGCTTTGGAAGTGGATGCCTTTGGAACTAGAAGTGGCCCAAATGAGCTATCATACAATGGTGTTATCACTGTGTCAGGTGATGACAAGGTATGTTGGGTTCTGACTGTTGCATCTCACCAAAGATGGGGTATGGACGCCATTTGAATAATACCTAACAACGGACATAAAAGGCCAATTTAACACAAACAGATGGGATATCTCTCATTTGTAAGAGGAGAAGCTGTACCGCAAATATTTGCCCATAGCCTCCATTATAACAACACAGAATGAAATGCTGTTTGATTTTATTCCTCATTAAATTGTATGCACTATTATTAACAATGAATTTAAATCTTATTATAGATTGTATTCCATTCTAATAATGAACTTAAATCTTATTCTCAATTGGATTTCAACTCAAATGACACTTTGAGGAATCCTCTAATAAGAAGTCTGATTAATATCTATCGTGAACTGCAGCTCCATTACCAAAAAAAAAAAAAAATTGTTCTTAATTTTTTTACAGTAGACTTTTGTTTATTTTTTATGGGAAAAAAGCTCAAGTCTTGGCTGCTAAACTTTATACAAATGGGTCAAATCTTTAGATAAACATTTATATTCAGCTATCTGATATTAAAAAATTTCTGTTTCCGGGGCACCTGGGTGGCTCAGTCAGTTAAGTGGCTGCCTTCGGCTCAGGTCATGATCCTGGGGTCCTGGGATCGAGCCCCACGACAGGCTCCCTGCTCAGCAGAGAGCCTGCTTCTCCCTCTCCCTCTGCCTGCCACTCTGCCTACTTGTGCTCTCTCTCTGTCAAATAAATAAATAAAATCTTTAAAAAAAAAATTTCTGTTTCCTACAACTTGCAGTTCATGAATCAACAACAGTGGATCACCTAGGAGCTTGTTAGAAATGCAGACTCTCAACTAATGAATCGTTGAACACTACATCAAAAACTAATGACGTACTATATGTTGGCTAATTGAACATAATGATAATAATAAGTAAATAAATAAAAATTATGTGCCAGATGTTGAAAAAAAAGAAAAGAAAAGAATTGCAGACTCTTAGCCCCCACTCCAGACCTACTGAGTATTTGCACTTTAATAAAATCTGCGGATTAGTACGCTCACTGAAGTTTGAGAAGGACTGCCTTATTTGGCAATATTTAAGATTGGTGTATTTCTTATAAAAATTTACATTTCTGCTTCCCTTGAAAAATCCCTCCATATGCTAATTCTGGCAGTCTGTGGTTGGAATTGAGAAACAGTTGCCCAGTTTAGACTTGGACTTTACTTGCCAAGTTGCTCTATCCCCATGCTGCTTCACGCATGTATATGACCTGCCTAGACCCTGTGGGAGTTTGGGGAGAAATCCCTGTGACAGACAAATGAAAAAATATAACAAGAGAGTGTTATATGTGTAAGCCACAGCAGGTAAATGTTACAACGCTTGACCATTTGCAACTTGTCGGAGTTAATTTTCAGAAATAATTTGTGTGCCAATAATAAAATTAGAAATTACCTTTGATCAAACTGGTCTTTGGTATGTTTTAATCAGGCTAGTTTCCAGTGTGCTCAGAAAAATAGTTTAAAAAATGGCATTCTTAATATCAGTAAACATTACTTTAAGTAATTAGATTAGATACAATCCATGTGATTTATTTGTGATTGCAAAAATGCATGCCCAAATAATAACTTACATTCTTTTTATTTGGGCAAGAAGTAATCATGTTATACATATGTATATACACGTCATATATTTTATATAATATATAGAGAGAGATGTAACATTTTTTACCATATGTCTCCCCCCCAGTTTTATTAAGATAAAAGTAATATACAGCACTGTATAAGTCTAAGGTGTACAGCATTATGACTTACATATACTGTGAAATGATTTTAAAATGTCATTTTAAAAGAGATTTTTTTTAAAAGATTTTATTTATTTATTTGACAGAGAGATAGACAGTGAGAGAGGGAACACAAGTAGGGGGAGTGGGAGAGGAAGAAGCAGGCTTCCTGCCAAGCAGGGAGCCTGATGAGGGGCTCAATCCCAGGACCCTGGGATCATGACCAGAGCTGAAGGCAGACGCTTAACGACTGAGCCACCCAGGTGCCCCTAAAAGAGATTTTTACATGCAGCATTGCTACTGCAAGCTCAGTATTTGTGAAAACCTATGCTTTCATTACAGTAGCTGCCTGCCTTCTGCTTCCAAGTATCCACGCATTCTTAATTTATAAAGTGCATGTATCGCATTTTGAAAGGAAGCCTACTGCCATGTCAAAGAGACATGGCTTTGTGGAGTTTTATGGTATTGCTGCTAAAAAGCATCTGAGGTATTTCATTTTGTGAGCATTTAGGCATAAATAGCCACACGGCTGATGCTATGGTCAGTAAAGAGCAAAATACTGAATTATTCCTTGCGGTATATCGGGAATTAATCAAATAATATGGGTGATGGTGATATTAATCACATTTAGTGCTTTAGCCTTCCTGTTTTGTCAATAATTCGAACGATTTTCTACCATATTCTTTCATTAAATTTTGTATTTGCTTTCTGAGGACTCAGAATGCATATTTATTACATTTTAGGATCACAGGTTCTCAATAGCATGTAACACCAAAAGGCTGAATTGCTTTCCTGTCCTCATGGATATCATCAGCAATGGGCTACTTAGAATTTTTAATTCTTCAGAACACATTCGGACTGACAGAAGCACATATTTTGAAGTAAGTATAATTTTTTAGGGGGGGGGCAGAGGAAGAGAGAGAGAGAGAGAGAGAGTCCTAATCAGGTTCCACGCCCAGCTTGGAGCCTGATGCGGGGCTCGATCCCACAACACTGAGATCATGACCTGAGCCGAAATCAAGAGTCGGATGCTTAACCGACTGCACCACCCAGGCGCCCCTGAAGTAAGTATAATATTATCTCACTTATCCTGAACTTTAAGGAGTTTTCAAGAAGACACTTGAAATGCTGAAATAACATCATGTTAATTTTTGTGAACTTGTTCTTGAATAAGTGTATGTTTTACATACATGTAGTTTACATTTACGGGTTTATACACACACACACCTATATACATACACACACTATCTAGTAATGACTATGCAACATTATAACCTGAATTGGATGACTTGGGGTCAGTGGAACAGCAGAAAATACAATTAGTTGAGGAAAAGAACTGACAAATTTTCATCTTAGATCTGTCACCGTCTGTTGCGGTAGGTAATGGGACCTCGTTGAAACAGCCAGAGTCTTAAAGGCCAGACAATGTGGCCATAACAACTTGACCTTCTGTAGCCCTTGGCTCAGCAATCCACAGGAAAAAACTACAGATAAAAACTTCATCTCAAAGTTTTCTTAAGAAGTAAATAAGGCAACGTGAGTAGGAGGTGCAGTTGACTGAGTTAAAGGTGATGAGTAAGGCACAAAAACATCGGAAACCACAGGCACTCGATAAACTGCTCTCGTGATCACTATTGCTATTTGTATTATTTTTCTTTGGAGCGCATCGAGTTTCCATCAAAGAATGTTCAGCTTTGACTAGATCAGCAGACAGACTGAACTAGAAGCAGTTTTTGTTTGAATTACAGTTTGCCAGGCCTGCTCAGATCTTGAGTCAGAATCTCCACAGAATCTCCACAGAACCTCCACACGCCGCAGTGGGGGAGGGTGGGCAGCTCTATCATCTCGCCATTTTGAATCTCCCTTCGCCTTCTTGAAATGACACCATGGGCATACTCTACAGCTCCCTGGTCACTCTTTGTTATTGATAATTATTCCAGTGCTGTCCAAAGCTTCAATTTCCTATCCAATTCAAACACCGCAGGGTCAATTTGTGGCCTAATGGCGGTGGACTGGGTGGGTGGGCAGTGGTGGGCTTTGCCCTTTCCCCCCCTTTTCTAGTCTAACATCCTGGAGTAGAAAGGAGAGAGTGACCTTGCTCAGACTCCCCACCCCCTTTTTTCTCCACTGCTGGGGCTGGAAGCCGAGAGGAAAGATGGAGAGGTTAAGACAGGAAGAAATGCTGCTCTGGAGACATCCTGCTTTCTCTAGTTGTATCTGCTACCTGTAGCTTCTGCGTATGTGGCTGCCACGACCTAGGTGACCTGCCTGATTGTCTTGGGTAGTATTTAGCTTTGACTCCAGTCGCTTGTGTAGAGGAAGATGCACTCAATGATGCAGAGCAGAATTTCCCTTCGGCTGCTACAGAGATGCCCTCACTGTCAAGCTCTCTCTCCTTTCCCTTGTTCATTGCTTGATGTGGCCATCATGCAGGTAGTTAACTTCCACCCCTGCGTTAACCTCTGTGCTTCTTCAGAAAGAGCTGTAAGAACTGTTGAGTACCTCTTCCATGCTGTTGGAAAGCTATAGAGATTTGGGGGTGCGGGGGGGCTGCCCCACATTCTTCATAACCCTAATTCACATATTTGAATGACTTAGTTAAGATTAAGCACAAATGAACCAGACGTCCAATTGCTAGCAGTTCACGTGTTCTGCATGATTTTAGGAGCACACGTCTTATGAGCATGGGTACCTGAGCAATGCCTTCTTCTGGATACCTGTGGCGGCCTGTTTTACTCCTTACATTGCGATGAGCAGCATCGGGGACTATAAAGTAAGAAGAGTTAACAAAGTCCTTGCATGTTCTTATTACTCAGAGACCCCTTCTCCACTCTATGACTGTACATTTCTATGGAGGTGGTGCACCTAATTTATATGCTTTTAATAAAAGGTTGGCAAGTATGAAGAAAATGTTATTTTTCTTAAACAACTGTGAGACCTCAGGAAGGACAGCTGAGGAGTATCATCAGCTAACAGGGAATGGCAGCTTTCATCTGGTTTATCACTTAGATTTTTATTGGTAGTCACGACCCTCTGACATTATCACAATGCCTCTCTCAGCGATGGTTTTTGCTTTAAGATTGTGGTGAAGTTACTCAGTTAAACAGTCCTAACCAACTCACCACAGCATTTTGGCTTATTGTTGAAAAAGGCTGCCCCTTTCAAGATTCATTTTAGCTTCATTCGATTGGAACATACTTGTACTAAAATTTTTTTTATAGGATATTTATCTAAAACCCAAATCGAATTGGCAACTCCATGATATTGGTATCTCTTTCTCCTTAACCTCCATAGCCGGCTAATGGTGAAGTCATGGAATTTGCCTCTGAAATAAGTCTAAATCTTTCCACATTCCTCCATCTCTCCTCAACACCCTAGTGAGATCCACTATCATGTCTCTCCTGGATGAGCACATCAGCCTCCTTAACTGCTCGCTGTGGATCCCCATTAGTCTTCTCCTTACCCATTCTCCACCCAGTGAGACAGAGCAATTACTTAAAAACACGCACCTGACCATGTTGATTACCTGCCTAAGTCCCTCCAGTGGTTTCTTGGCAAACCAAAGAGCAAGAATGAAATCCTTGCTGTAGCCTGAAAAGCCGTGCATGATCTGGACCTGGACGTCCTTCTCCACTTTGATCTGACACCACTATTACCTCAATAACTATGTCCAGCCATGCTGTCTTTCCAGTTTCCCAAGAGGGTCAACTCTCCCCACTGCTGGTCTTCTCTCCTATGCTCTCTGCCCACTCTGCTCCTTAACCTGTCACCTGTCTAATTCCTACTCACCACTTAGACCCTAACTCAGGCCCTTCATAAGGGAAACTCCTCTGACAAATCCCCTAATTACAATTCACCTCTCCTATGACCCTTATCTTAACACTTTTAATTTTACTTCTTAAATTTTAATTTTCACAATTTTAATTATGTAGCTATCACTACACTTATTTGCATATCACCTTTATCTCTCTTGCCCCCTGCAACTTAAACTCCACAAGAGCCCATGACCAACACAAAGCACATGGTGGGCTCAGCAAACATATATTGAACACATCACTGAACAGAAAATGTCCAACTCTCTAACACGCCCTCGCTATCATTCTTTTTCCTGCTGTTTTTCCAGATACACTCCCCTTTCCAGAATATTTATCTCCATTCTAACTTTTTTCCTAAGGAATGTCTTTATATAGACTCAATTTTAGGTTTAAAATTTCCATTGCTTTTGTGCTTCTGTTAAAGTTCAAGTAATATTTTAAGCCTTGTGTTAAGGCAATCACCGCAACAATATAGCTTAGAGTGAGTCACAATATCAAAATCTACTTACTAGTTTTCATATGTAATAATGAAAAATGTGGTCTACTTCAAGACAATAAGTGTCTTATTTTTATCTTATTAGTTTTAACAGACATCTTCTTATGCCAACCTAAAGAGTTGGTAATGAAATTGACCTGTTAGAAGATCATTTCTTAGACCTAAAATAAAATGCCGATAATTAATGGACTCTTTACACCCAGCATAAATTTGAAGAATCTTACAGGAAATTTGCAGACCTACATCTTTTGAATCTTTGTACAATTTTCAAGTCTCCATTAGTGTCAAAAGGAAGAGTAGCTTTGTGAATACAAGAACAGGAATCTTACTGAGGCTATGTCCAGTCATTCTGTGATAGAATGTGAGCTGGTTATATTAGTGCATTTCTCCTTCAGATGATGAAGTCACCATGCAGTTTGGAGCATCATCGATCCCCCTGAAGGAGGAGTGTGGCCAGTAAAAGTCTCATTTACTAAATCGGCATAATATATGAAAGGGACACAGGAAAAAAAAAATGAATGATTTATGAGCACATATTTACAACTTCTCGAGCCTCAACTATTCAGCACTTTTGATGATTCTTCCTTTTCTTTCCCAGAGAAAAGCTCACTCCCAGCTACGGATTTCAGGGCTCTACCCTTCTGCATACTGGTTTGGCCAGGCACTGGTAGATATTCCACTCTACTTCTTGATCCTCCTTCTGATGCAAATAATGGATTACGTTTTTAGCCCAGATGAAATTATATTTATAATTCAAAACCTTTTAGTTCAGGTAAGCGGCAAAAATTATGAGGTAGTTTTGTTAGACTATATTTCATGAATGCAATGACATTATTTATCTTCAACTAAAGAACTTCAAATTACCTTTGCTATCGCGTAGTTTGGAAAGTTGAGGTTTCAGTAGGAATGCTTTCCTAGGTAGTATTTACCTTATCCAACCTTAATATTTCTATTTTCAGATCCTGTGTAGTATTGGATATGTCTCATCTCTGGTTTTCTTGACATACGTGATTTCATTCATTTTTCGCAATGGGAGAAAAAATAGTGGTATTTGGTCATTTTTCTTCTTAATTGTAAGTATGCAGACAGTGCATATTATTTGATTTTTAAATCATTTTTAAATAATTTTAAGAATATGTATTTTAAAGGTACAGTCAACAAGAGGGACAATGTCGAACTAAAAAGCTTCTGCATAGCAAACAAAGCAATCAACAAAATGACAGGGCAACCTATGGAATGGGGAAAATATTTATAAACCATATATGTCAATTATATCTCAATAAAGCTGGGGGGGAAGGAGGATCATTTAAGGATGAAATTAATCTGACCAAGAAATAGAATAAAGAATTTAAAAAATTAAAAAAGGTTATAAAAGCACCGGTAGAGACCACTGAATTCTGTTAAGCGTGCGTGAAGATTGCAAAACTTTGGGAATCATGGTTATAACATTTATACAAAAAAATCCACAAGGTGTAATAGTGCCTTTTATAAAGTGAGCATAACTTTAGTAACAAATCCTAAGAAAGATAGGGACACCTGGGTGGCTCAGTCAGTTAAGCATCTGCCTTCAGCTCAGATCATGATCTCAGGGTCCTGGGATCGAGTCCCACATTGGGCTCCTTGATCAGTGGGGAGCCTGCTGCTCCCCCTGCTTGTGCTCTCTCTTTCTCTCTCTGACAAATAAATAAATAAAATCTTAAAAAAAAGAATATCATTGATAAATTAATTTGGAAAATCAAAGACAGTTGTCTAAATAAAGAGATGACAAAGCAAACCCAGAAATAAATTAAAACAAGAAGAAGAGGAATAGCCCAGTATGATTTATTTTAGATTGAGATGATGGTTCACTATTAGGAGCTTTCAAATTAAGAGAGGAAAACTGCATGAATTAAGAAAACACCATAGGGGCGCCTGGGTGGCTCAGTTGGTTAAGTGACTGCCCTCTGCTCAGGTCATGATCCTGGAGTCCCGGGATCGAGTCCCGCATCGGGCTCCCTGCTCGGCGGGGAGTCTGCTTCTCCCTCTGATCCTCCTCTCTCTCATGCTCTCTGTCTCTCATTCTCTCTGTCTCAAAAAAATAAAAAAAAAAAAAAAAAGAAAAAGAAAACACCATATAATTCCTTTAAAAATGCCCAGTAAAATGTATAAGCACAGGAAGGACAAATTACTAAAAACCAATGGCAAATATTACAGTACATAGTAAACTTATGCAGCTATTCACCTAATATCAGCAATAAAACAAGGACACCCACAGTGATTAATTATAGCACCCAGTTTCAGTGAGGTGGTGTAACATGCACACCCATTCATGTTCATAAGAGCATAGACTGTCACCATCGTTTTGAAAAATAATCTGTTAGTAACTGTTGAAAATGTGAATCCACATAAATTTTAGCCTGCATTTACATTTCTCAGAATCTTTCCTAAAAGACTAAGAGTGTTGGGGTACCTGGGTGGCCCAGTCAGTGAGGTGCCGGACTCTTGGTCTCAGCTCAGGTCATGACCTCAGGGTTGTGAGATGGAGCCCCGTGTCCGGCTCTATGCTCAGTGTGGAGTCTGCTTGAGATTCTCTCTCCCTGTCCCTCGGCTCCTCCCACTTGTGCTCAGTCTCTCTCTTTCTCTCTAAAATAAAATAAATAAATCTTTAAAAAATAAAGATTAAGAGTGTCAATAGATAAGGATTTATGTATGCCATTATTTATAGGAGCAGAGAAATTGAAACAACACATTTTCTAAAGGCAAAATTGTTGAATTCTTGCATATCCACTCAAAGAAATACTGTGCAGCTGTGAAAATGAATAACTGGTATGTTCAAACCCTAACAGATGTCTATGACCTCCTGTGAAATGAAAAAAAAAAGCAAAAGGCTGAGCAATGTGTGATAAAGAGCCCCCTTGTCAGATTCTGAATTTCAGCAAGAACTCCAACTGATTTTCATGCACACTGAATTTGAGAAGCCCTGGTGTGTCTTAAAAATGTCATAGTCAATCAAATACAGAATTCTGATACAATCTTGAGTCGCAAAGAAAAAAAACATGGTGGCGGTACTGCTGTGTGAGGGAAAGGTTGAAAATAAGAACATTTACAAGATGAATTCCCACCCTCCTGGAAAACATACTAAAATTCAGATTTTTTACACTTTAGTGAAATTAGGATGCTTTTTTTTTTTTTTTAGATCACCATCTTCTCGATAGTTGCTACGGATCTAAATGAATATGGATTTCTAGGGTTATTTCTCTGCACCATATTAATACCACCTTTCACACTGATTGGTTCTCTATTCATTTTCTCTGAGGTAAGTAAGTTCACACCTGTCCTCAGGTCATGAAGTGTGTGGCATTGGAGATAGCCTAGGATATTGTAGAAATGTAGGTAGAGTCCTTATCTACAAAATTTGAAATCTCTGTCTTGGAAAGGTCATTCTCTTACCACAGGCAAGAGTCATGTTATTCAATAAGAAGCTCTGCTTTTGTTCATGAAGGTCAAGGGCGGTTCTGCAGTAGTGGAATTTTATAGTTCTCGTGATAACCCTCTCTCCTGGGACCAAATGACCCTACTGGGAGCCTAATGAGATGTACTTTTTCTGTTAATTTTGGACATATTGGGTTTAAGATTCCTAATAGGCACATAATGGGAAATGCCACGTAGCCAGTAGGATGTATGAGTCTGAAATCCAGCATGTGGTTACTTGAGATCCATCAGCATATAAATGATATCTAAGTGATGGCACTAGATAATATAACCTACAGAGTAAGTATAGTTCGAATAAAAAGTGGGCCAAAGATTTGGCCTTGACTCCAAAATTTAAAGATTGGTAAGAAGAGTCAGCCAGTCAGGTTGAGGAGGAGCCCATGAGGTAGGAGAAAAAGTGGGGAACTGTTGAGCGCCAGAATCTCTTCTCAGAAACTCTCCTTAAACACTTAAAGTATCCGTATAGAAGGATATGAGCCAGATGGCAGTAAAGAATATTTCAGGAAGGAGGGAGTGATTCAACCATCAAACGAGAGGTCTAGAAAGTTGATGACTGAGAAGAGACCACTGGATTTGACTACATGAAAGTCATCGGTGGTATTAACCAGACAGAATTCAAGGAAAGGGTGAACACCAAACCTAACAAGAGCGAGCTTAGTAGATATTGTAATATGAGGAAGTAGTGCAATAAAGATACCTACTTCTAGTTTCACTGAAAAGAGTAACAGATGGGAAAGTAGATGGATGAGGAAACTACATTTTTGTTTAAGAAGGGAGATAACATGCTTATAGGAGAGAAAATTTTGATGAAAAGAGAGACATGAACTACCTAAGAAGCCAACTTCTTGAACAGCTGAGAAAAAGAAAAACATCATATAGCACCCAAGCAGAGAGGTTGCTTTCCATCAAAGCAAGAACATCTCATCTATTTATGAAGATCATAGCCAGAGGCAGGTAATTTAGTGGCTTTGATGGTAGTAAACGCATGATTCTCTTCTGAGTGATCCTCCTTTCTTAGGGAAAGAGATGAAGTTATCAACTTAAAGTGAGGTGAACAGGGGTGTTGGGATGTTGAGGATAGAGTAAAAGATGTAAACAATTATTTCAGAAAGTAGATCACCATAGAATTGACAGGGAGTATTAAAAGACCCCTTGCCCTACTTTGCAAGTGCAGTCAGCAAAGCTGATAGTTTCTCTTATCATAGTCTCCTTCCCAGATGCAGTTCAGGGCAGGTGGAGTTGGGTTCAATCAGGATTAATGTTTTCCCAGTTGAGTCTGACAAAGAAAAGGATAAAGGTACAATCAATGTGGCAATGAGCAGTGGTTCTGTATAAGGAGGGATTGTAGTAATGGACCATGGAGATTCTAAGCTGGGGAATGATGAAGTTAAGGAGATGAGGGGGTTTATGGACAGTGGAACAGTGGTGGGGTTGGTGGGTTGGAGGGTCACCAACTCCAAATTATGGAGTAAGGGTAGTAGAGCAAGGAAGCTGAAAAAATAAAACATAGTAGACAGGACAAAGATTAGGGTGCCTGAAGTTGATTTTGGATGTGGTACAGGGTTTGGAAGTGGGTGACAGAGGCACATAGGAGAACAAGATTATTTGAAATAATGTCAGGGTCCTGGAAAACCATTCAATGAGAAAAATATAATCATCTTTTCTAGATGATGGATGGCTGTGATAGAGATTTCCTATGTCAGCTTAACATTGCTCAGAAAAAAGTCCTGGGAAATACAGCTCAAGAAACAAAATTGGCTCTTTACTCTTTATTTACTAAGGGAGTCGGGGGATGTTTCAGAATGTATTGTGAATCTAATGAAAATCATGCACTTATGTGTTATGCATGTATATTCTGTATATTATGCATGTGTTGTAAATCTAATGAAAACCATGCCAAATTCCAGGTGAAGAGTTTTGTCTTTAGCATGAAGAGTTGTCATGATTATTCTTAAGAGTGGGTAGAGCAAGGGACAGAGCAATGTACTGGTTCCAGGGCTCTTAGGGAAGGAGCACAAATGTAGGGAGAAAGGCAGGTAAAAGTTAGGGAAGAGGGTTTGTCTTAAGACAGATCTTGCCCATGGCTTCAATGGTCCCCAGCACCACCCAGGATTCTCTTAGCACGGAGAATCATGCTGACTCACAGTGTTCTAAAAGCATCTGAGCCTGTAGGCCAGCACAGGAGAGGAGGTTACTGAGTGACTTTGGAAGCAAGGAAGACACATAGCACAGTCGGAAATCGACTTTTACCTGATGCACGAGAGAACGCTGGCAAAGTCATTAAAAGGACATTAATGTATCTTACATGAGATGAGATTTGAGAACAGATAAATGTTCATCTAAACCTACTTTTCCTCATTTTACAGATTTCTCCTGACTCCATGGATTATTTAGGAGCTTCAGAATATCAAGTTGTGTTTCTGGCACTGCTAATAGTAAGAATATATTTCCATTTAAATGTTCTTGCGTGAGGGGGACACATTTGTTTGCTTAGCATTAAGTTAAAAAGTTTAACTTTGGCACTTAAAAATGCAGCATTTTAGGCATCTGAAGCAACACACACACACACACACACACACACACACAGAGGCTTTAAAATTTGGACCGCTTTCTTTATAACAATCATCTGACATGGAGTGTGGAGCCCAAACTCTCAATGGCATGAATAGTCCGGGTACCAACTTACTACTATCTTGTCTATTACAGCTTCTCTGAAGAACAGTGAAGCTAGCTCTGAGAGTTTCATTGGGTATTAAATCGATTGTCTTTCAAACTTGTCAAAATGTTATCAGATCTATCTTTGTACATATGATCAAACTCCTTAAATAAATTCCAATATTGAACTTGTTTTTATGGTGATTTCTAATATTGATTGTCTTTTTCTCCCCTTAGCCTTACCTTCATTTTTGCATTTTTGTTTTTGTTCTCCGGTGTCTGGAAGTGAACTTTAGGAAGAAATCAATGAGAAAAGATCCCGCGTTCAGGTTGAGAAAATTCAAATACATTTTCATGTTTTATTTAATATTCATTGTTTAAAAACATTTTAATATGCTTAAGTTAATTGAGTAAAAATAATTGCACAGGATTTTTTTTAGGAATTGTATAGTGTACAGAATTATTATAATTCACGATATTTTAATGAGCTTACAATCTAATGAGGGAAGCCACATCAGCACATGTGAGACGCTGAAAAATTAAGGAATTTCATTGACATACTAAAAGAAAGTTATATACGAAAGACAAAATCTTTAAAATAATTGGTAAGTATAGATAAAAATTGGTAAGTGTAGCCAGTCCAGGAAGGTAGGGTAGTCTGAGCAAAAGGACAGAAGTTGATATAAATGCCACCTTCCTGTAGATTTGAGTGGACAGCTGGAAAGAACTTGAAAGTTTGTATTGGAAGATAATGGAAAATTAAATTAAAGCTGAATTTTAGAGGGTGTTGGAATAGAGAAGTGTAGGAAAGATTTTGCAAATTACATAATGAGAAATCAAGACAGGTGTGTTTTGGAAACCTCACCTAACTCACAAAATATGAATCAAGTTCAACTGTAAAGTAGGTGGTAGGGGGCGCCTGGGTGGCTCAGTTGGTTAAGCGACTGCCTTCGGCTCAGGTCATGATCCTGGAGTCCCGGGATCGAGTCCCGCATCGGGCTC